TGATTTTAAATCCAGCCACTTTACCATACTGGTATAACTCTTGCAACAGAAATTCCAATGACTCAATTGGTTGAGTTAATGTAAAAACTAAATCATCAGCAAAAGCTTTAAGTTTGTATTCTTTAGTAGAAATCTTTAGGCCTTTAATCATTGGTGATTCTCTAATTCTAGACAACAGAATTTCCAAAGACAATACAAATAATAATGGAGAAAGTGGACAACCTTGTCTGGTACCTTTTTGTATATCTATAGGTTCTGTCAGATCTCCATTAATAATTATTTGAGCAGATTGTTTTTGATAAATCACTTTTATAGCTGTCTTAAATTGATTTCCAAAATTCATATAGTCCAATATTTTATTTAAAAACTGCCAGTCCAATTTGTCGAAGGCCTTCTCCGCATCTAGGAAAATAAAGGCCGATGGCACTTGATTGTTCTTATCCAAATATTCCAATAAGTTCACAATTAATGAAGCATCTTGAACAAAAGAAAGAAAGAAAGAAAGAAAGAAAGAAAGAGAAAGAAAGAAAGAAAGAGAAAGAAAGAAAGAAAGAAAGAAAGAAAGAAAGAAAGAAAGAAAGAAAGAAAGAAAGAAAGAAAAGTCCAGTTGCCTTGACTCAACTTCCAAACAACTCTACCTGGATGACTGAGAACCTTTATCGGCAGATGATAAATACACTTATGCTGTAGTCCTAATCTATATTGGATAATAACATTTATCCAGGAGATATCAATAAATATCAAGGAGCTACCAACTCAGAGAAGCAATCGCTGAACAACAGCCTAGTCAACAGCAACAGCACTTAGACTTATATACCGCTTTTCAGTGCTTTACAGCCCTCTCTAAGAGGTTTACAAATGTCAACGTATTGCCCCCAACAATCTGGTTCCTCGTTTTATTGACCTCGGAAGGATGGAAGGCTGAGTCAACCTTGAGCCGGTCAGGATCGAGCTCCTGACAGTGGGCAGAGTTTGCCTCCAGTACTGCATTCTAACCACTGCGCCACCATGGCTTTGATAGTAATAGCAATAGCACTTAGACTTATATGCCACTTCACAGTGCTTTACAACTCTCTCTAAGCGATTTACAGAGTCAGCCCCTTGCCCCCCAACAATCTGGCTCCTCATTTTAGCCATGTCAGAAGGATGGAAGGCTGAGTCAACCATGAGCCAGTGAGGAATTCCAAGGAGAAGACCACATCCCCCTAAGCACCAACAGAGCAAGCTATTGTATACAAAAAGGGAGAAAAATCCACTTTGCCAGGTGAGAAAATGTCTTCAAGAAAACAACTAAGCACGGAGAGCCCCAAGGACTCCATAAATACAATTTTACATTTACATTTCAATGATTGAAATGATTACTTGTCCAAGTATCTCTGGTGCCTAATTTTTAGGACACCAGTGATGGGGCTGAGTATGATGAGCACAACATTCACAGAAGCAGAATCTGTCTACTTTGTGGTGGCCAATTGCGACAATAAAGTTCAGTTGCTGTCCTCGGTTTCAAAAGTCTGCTTTGAAAGAGTCGACTTCTTTAGAGACAAAGCCTACAATGTGGCACTCAAAAAAAGAGAGGAAAAATATAATTTTATCATCATTTGGCTTGAAGTTTGATGTAAGGTTTCCAGTGACTGAAGTGTCTTACTCAGAGCACGAACAAAATTTACTTTGCTTTGCTTTGTGCATTTTAAGAGAAAGTTACAAGGATGAGGAGGCGTGCTTGCTTGTATGGACTGGCATATGTGAATTTCATGTTGCGTGTGTGGGAAGTCAGCCCTGCCCAGAGAAGGAAATATTAAAAGGGCAGAATATTATATTTCCTCAAAGGATCTTAAAGAGGCAGAAAAGCATGCCCAGTTTTCTTAATAGCCCCAAGTCTCCCTCCCCCAAGCACAAACCAGCTCTGTAGAAATGCAGATGTGATAATCCATTCAGGAAGGTTGGAGCCCTCCAGCTAGAAGCTTGGGAAGAGAAAGACACTTAAAATCTATATATCCCACCCAAACTCTAGGACAGAACATAATAGGATTAACCCACAGTTGCCAAAGGGGCACACTCAGACTCAGGTCAAAGTACATGACACAGGAAATACAAAGCGTCAAACAGGAACAGGAAACAACTCCAAACAAAAGCCCAAGAGGGTATAAAAACCCACCATTCCCTACTACATGTGCTCACTCTCTTTTCTTCCAGAGCCATCTTTCGGTCTGTCTCTCCTCTTCAATAAACTGCAACCTTCTTTCTAAAGCAGTCACCATGTTGTTTATTCCCGACTTGGACTGAACCATGATGAAGACTTTTCCTTCTACACGTGCCAACTGCACCTTTTCCTGGATTGTGAGGCCCTGCACTCAGTCACTCATGCGGACCAGTAGAGACAACAGAATGATGTTACGTGAGAAGTACCTCGACGGGAACTTCTGATAAACCTTCGATGTTAACCAAGTCTTATGCTACCTGTCAAAACCTCCGAGGACTCCATATTGTGATGACAATACCCTTGACGGGACCAACGGCTAAACGAAGACCCAAGTTAAGTCCTCCAGCCAGTAGTGGAGATTTCGACTTTATGGCATGGCTCCAGGATATCTGAAGAACCATCTCGCCCCAATAGGAGTGGCCCACCCCACACAGTCCAGAAAAAGAGGTCTACTTCTGGACCCCATCAGCCAAGGAATTTTGACTGGCAGGTTTTAGGAGAAAAATCTTTGCTGCTGTGACCCCTGTCCTTTGGAACATCCTGCTACCTCAGACGAGGTAGCCACCCACATCCTTGTGGTTTTTCCAAAGGGGCTTTGTATGTATAGATATAGAGATAGATAGGGGCCCCAATGGAGACACTTCAGGGTGGGGGTACCTGGTGCACAAGCCCTTGGTTCTTAATCTATTTAATGTTTGTATTTTAATTATTCCAATATTTATAATTGTTTTTATACTTCTTTTTTATTGCATTGTAAGCCACCCAGAACTGCTCTGCACAGCAAGAAGGGTGGCATGTAAATTTAATAAATAAAGGCATCGGTCAGCGCCTGTTATTTTAAAAGCAGGACCCCCCACCCCCACAAAAACAGGATTTAGTCCATGTACATTTATTCCAGAACAAATGTCTGCTTCTTTGCTATAATTATCTCTGTTTTTTCTAAAGCAGATCAGCAGAGCAGTTTTTGGAAAGTTTATTATTACGGGGCTATTTCTGATTTGAAATATGAAATTATGGTAGAGCGTACGAAGGCATAATTTAAACATAATTGTTTTGCTTTCCAGGGCTGTCATGATTAACAATCAGGATATCATCTGAAGGAGGTATATTACAGAAAACATCTCCCACTTGAGCTTCAGTTACAATTACAGCTGATTAATCTGGCATCTTTGGCTAGCTCGCCAGTTCCAAATACTAAATAATATGGTCTCAAACAAATAAACCCACTTTTGACTAATGTTCATGCCACAGGTTTGATTTAAAATCACCCAAAATCCAAAACAGGGTAGATGATAATTTGAGTTGTTATTGCAGGAACTGCTGAAGAAATATGGGTCTATCTGTTTTATTTATTTATTTGTTGAAGATTTCAGTCAATAGGCCTGTAAACTTTGCTGCAAATCTGGAACCATGCCGGTGACGGTGATGGCAAAACAGCCGTGCTATTTATCTGAAAGGAAGGCTAGTGCACCCAATAATTTGTCTAAGCGGCTGTCTAATTTGACAAGGAATATGATAATGAATGCAGGTGTGTGTGTGTGTGTGTGTGTGTGTGTGTGTGTGTGAGAGAGAGAGAGAGAGAGAGAGAGAGAGAGAAAGTGAATATACTGTACCTCACACATGTATCCATCCATTCAAATCTCCTTTTCTTAAAAGAATTTGCTTAAATTCACAATGATTTAAGTCCTTTACAGCATCTTTCTCTCTGCAAAGCTTGCAGATAGTCATACAATTGTCTGCTATGAGCGATCTGTACCCATAACTCAAGAAACTCTCCTTCCCTGCGACTTATATAAAATCATAAGGTTGGAAGGGACCTCGGAGGTCTTCTAGTCCAGGGCTTTTCAACTTTTCACCCATTGTACCACTTTTAGGATATGGCAACATCCGAGTACCACCAGTCGCCTAGCAAGGTGTAAAAAACTTGATGACCAAAAAAAAAAAAAGGAAAAAAGTGATAAAGTACAGGTAGTCCTCAACTTACAACAGTTCGCTTAGTGACTGTTCGAAGTTACAATGGCACTGAAAAAAGTGCCCCCAAACCACAGCCGAGCAAGACACCTGCCTGCCCACCCGGCAGCGCTCTTCCTCCTGTCCGAGCTTTTCATTGTTGTGAGCATTTCTGTTGAGGATTGGCAGCGGGGGTGGGGTGGGGGGGTGTTTGGTTTTTATTCCCCCCATCTGCTGGGTGGTTGCAGCAGGTTTTGGTCACTTCACATGACCCTGGGACACTGTGACCATCATAAATATGAATCAGTTGCCAAGCATCTGAATGTAAATCACAAGACCCTGGAGATGCTGCAACATTCCAGCTGATCGGCGCTTCTTCTGGCCTCAGCAGAAGCGCCAGGATCAGTGCCCAGCTCCAGCTGGAGCCTGGCGCTGATCCTGATGCTTCCACTGAGCCCTGACAGTCCCGAAGAAGCGCTGATCCTGGCACTTCCGCTGAGCCTTGACAGCCCTGCAGTGCCAGCCGTCTCTCGCTCAGGCTTGTGTGGTGCTGCCACTGGTTCAGCTCATTCCCCTCCCCCGCTACCACTTTTCTGGGATGGTCGCGTACCACCTGCCAGGTGCCAATGTACCACAGGTGGTACCCGTACCACTGGTTGAAAAGCCCTGTTCTAGTCCAACCCCCTACCCAGGACAGGGATCCTCATACCACCCCAGACAAATGGCTATCCAATCTTTTCTTGAAAACTTCCAGTGGTGAAGCACGCATAATTCTGAGAGGCAAGTCTTTCCCTTGATTAATTGTTCTCACTGACAGGAAATCCCTCCTTAGTTCCAGGTTGCATCTTCCGGTTATGAGCTTCCACCCATTGCATCTTGTCCTGCTCTCAGGTGCTTTGGAGAATAAGTCAATCTCCTTTTCTCTGTGACAGCCCTTCAGGTATTGGAAGACAATGATCATGTCATTTCTAAGTCTTCTATTTATTAGGCTAAGCACACCTACCGGTAGTTCCCTTAGCCCAGGGGTAGGCAACCTTGGCTCTTTTATGACTCATGGACTTCAACTCCCAGAAATCCTGAGCCAGCCAAGCTGGCTCAGGATTTCTGGGAGTTGAAGTCCACGAGTCATAAAAGAGCCAAGGTTGCCTACCCCTGCCTTAGCCATTCATTGTAAGATTTAGCCTCTAGAGTCTAGACTCTTTATCATCTTTTTTGCTCTTCTCTGTACTTTTCTAAGATCTCAGCATCTTTTTTTTGCACCATGATGACCAAAACTGGACGTAGTATCCCAATTGTGCTTTCCCTGCTTGTCTCAATTGGAGGTCCTTAGGCAGTGGTGGGATTCAAATACCTGAACAACCGGTTCTCTTATTGGATGCAGGCATGGGCCTCAGAGGCCTGGAACGGACTTCCGGAAGCGGCATCCACGCACTTCCGGCGGGCCGTTCTAGGTCTGGGAGGCCTCCTCCAAGCCTCCGAGGCCTAGAACGGACTTCCGGAAGTGGCATCCACGCACTTCTGGTGGGCCGTTTTAGGCTGGGGAGGCCTCTGCCAGGCCTCTGAGGCCTAGAATGGACTTCCGGAAGCAGTGTGCATTCAGCCGGTTCTCCGAACTCAGCAAAATTTAGCTGAACTGGTTCTGCTGAACTGGTGCGAATCAGCTGAATCCCACCACTGTCCTTAGGCCCTTGTAACAGAACCCCAATTGTTGTGTCTTCTCCCTACTCCCAAACACTCCTGGGGGATCCCTTTCTATAACTTCCCCCATCCTCTTTTGCAGACAAAATTCCTCTCTGCACTTTTATACAGGAGGAAAAGATTGGGAAAAATAAAACCTGAGATAGAAGACAAAAGAAGAAAGTTTTAAAAGTTCTCTGTCCTTTGCAAAAAAAATCCACTTGAGAGAAAAGAGAAAACATATTTCTGATTAACTGCTCAGAATTTTTATTTCCTGGACAACGTGGGTGTCCAGCTTGACCACTTTAGGTTTGATTGATCAATGCCTTAGTATCTGAAACTTTGGGGGAATTGAATGTCTCCCCATTTCTTAGGAGGCAACCACATCTGGATAATGATCTTGGGGAAGATAGTTGGGTTGACATATGAGAAGAATGTGTCCATTGTCCATAGTGGGTGGAGAACATGATATAAATGCAGAAAGTGCCAGAACTATAGAAGAATGAAAAAGTCTCAGTTGATTGCTACATAAGTGCAACTTATTGTGCTATAATTATACAGTTAACGTTGTAATCGAGACATCAATCATTAGTGCAATTAGCTGCAATGGTATTATTATACTTATTTTGGTTCCACTGAAATCACAAATCATTGCGCTTTCCATAATTTGATAAAGACAAATGCCTTCAAAAAAATAAATAAATAAATAAGGACCTATGGTCCATTCTTACCAGGACTGCTCGATCATTGTGCTTGGCCAATTAATACGACACTTGGATGTGGTGCTGTTAGGAAGCGCTGAAGGCATCAGGGTGCTGTAAATCGGGTATGGCGTCATGATGACAAAAGACAGACACCATGTGGCTGCAATTACCTTCAAGGCATGGGTTTTGGTCTGCCAGACCCGAGACTGCAGGGGTTTGCATATGGCACTATATCTCTCAAGAGAGATTGCCACTAGGCTAAAAGTTGATACGCTCACTGAGACACCTAGGTGAGTAGGAAAGCAGAAATAGAAGAAGAAAATTAATGGCTTCATTTTTGCAATCTTAAAACCAAGACAGAAGAAGGCAATGCAGCAGTTGATGTGTCTAGTTTACAGGGGTAGGCAACCTTGGCTCTTTTAAGACAATTGGACTTCAACTCCCAGAATTCCTGAGCCAGCATGGCTCAGCTTGGAAACCTCTCCCTTTCCCCTCAGCGTGGCTGGCTCAGGAATTCTGGGAGTTGAAGTCCACGAGTCATAAAAGAGCCAAGGTTGCCTACCCCTGGCCTAGGGCCTAGGCCGCTTTATGACTCGTGGACTTCAACTCCCAGAATTCCTGAGCCAGCATGGCTCAGCTTAGAAACCTCTCCCTTTCCCCTCAGCGTGGCTGGCTCAGGAATTCTGGGAGTTGAAGTCCACGAGTCATAAAAGAGCCAAGGTTGCCTACCCCTGGTCTATACTGTAGCCTATGGTGTAGTCCTGGTTTTCCTAGTATCTTCTCATCCAAATATTAACCAGGATGGACCTTGTTTAACCTGACAGCCTTCTCAAAGTTGGTCCGTTGATACCTCCTGAGACAAATAAAAAGTAGGTTGTTCAAGATTATACATATTTTTTTTAAAAAAATCCATGTAATTGTGGTGTCACAAACTCTTTGCCTTTTCATCACTGTGTGGACAATGATTAATTTTTATTCTATAAAATATGGGTCTGTCTGCTAATATAGGAGAAATGTTGACTCCGCATATGTTGATTATGTGTTGGAGCTATAGAATGCTACACAAAAGTTTTACATTTTGAGATTTAGTAACAAACCGTAGTTGTGGAAAACTGCCTTGTAATCATAGGAATTTAGGGGAGAAGAACTCAAGACTTTGATGTTTCCCCTTCAGAGAGAAACATTAAGAAATATCTTCTATTTGCTTTTTCTATACCTGTAAAACCTATGGAAACCAAATTATATCCCCCATCAATCTTTCCATTTTGGAGAAGTTTGACAGTCTATTCAGTAAGTTTGGTACTTTTTAAGTAGCACAAAAAAGTGAAGGAACCCGTTAGAGACACCAAAGATTTTCTGATTATTCAGAAGCAAATTTTCATCATGGAAAATTTGGATGCTAAATGGATCACCTGAAAATTAATTTCATGGACTGTGATCAACAGCAACTGAACCATTAATCTATTTTAAGAACGGAAGCCTCATTCATTTTTCATTTTTTAACAACTTCACAGCCCTTTTCCTACAAAAAAACATTTCTCTTCGAGGAAAAGCAATCATGCTTATTCGTATAACATGGTGGCTAAAGCATTAAATTTTTATTACCAAGTTTGAGCACAACTAGTTATAGAGGTGAAGGAGATCAGAGGTGAATAGATGTTAGCTTACAATTCTGGAGGTTTTTAGGACACAAAGAGAATTGGAAATTGTAATTGCCAACGAAAAGGCCTTCCCCAAATAATTAATTTCAGCTGATCCATTGTGTGAGATTCGGTAGTTTCATAAACAGGTTGAAAAGGAAATTAGGAAATCGTATCTAAAATTAGGCATTTTTCCAAAGAAAGCTGGCTTCTCATACAATTGTAGGAAAGGCAACCTATTTGGTGGAGGAATTTGAGAGAAGAGGCAAAGCCTGGGTGTGGAGTCAAGAGAGGAATTAGCCTGGAGTCATTACGTTCCCCTAAGCAATCCGAGTTAATTCTATTAACTCTTATCTAGCTCTAATTTTATGCTGATCTGTTAGTTGACCAGGTTCTTGTGTATAGGCTTGAGCAATAAATCATCTTAAGTGGAACTTAACATGTGGTCCTGATTCTTCACAAGAAAGAACTGAAACAGAGATGGGAAACTTGGTGTATTAGATTATCACTTCCATCAGTGTTTAAAAAATTGGCACTGCACGGCACACAGTTCAGAAGTAGTGAAGGATAGGTTGGATTCAATGTCCAATTTACAACAGTACGCAATTCCTTTCCCCCCTCTCCAATCAAGTAATTTTTTTAACCACATAGTGAAAATAAGACTGAAACAAAATCTCAATAAGGCAATATAACTTCCTTTGGATCCAAGCTCTGCTTCGAAGCAATGCTTCTCTGGAGATTTGGGGAAAGCAGAAAATGAATTTTCATCAGTAAGGCTATTTGGCAGATAATGCCAAATTAACATTTCCAGAATTTGTGGAAAGTAATTCAAAAGTCAAAGAAAGCTGTAATGTCTTTTTCTGGAAGTAAAAGGTTAATGCAAAAACGGTTCCAGCAAATCTCTTCCCTGAAACAAATAAGCAAAGAACAGGAAAAAAAACTATTTGTGGAGGTGATTGATATGTATTCTTACATAATTACTGTACATTCTTACATTTTTACAATTCTTTCAATAATTGCAATTCTTACATTTCCTACATGACAGGAAAGATTCTTACAGAAACACAGATTAAGAAAGAAGGCTCCAAGTTAAACAGGAAACTAAGACTAAATTAAACTAAACCAGACTGTATATTTTACTATTGCCTCAGTCAAATTCATAGATCACTTAGATGTTTTAACTTGTTTCATATTTCATGATGTGGAATTATTTTTTTTTCAAGTAATATCATCTCAAAGGAATGAACAGAATAATGTATGCTTTACTTAAACGCCCCAAATCAGTCAGAAAGATGTCAGTTGGATAATATTGGCCAGATTAATTTAGGGCTGCAGTTATGAGTCGTAGACAATGATAGTTAGGTTTGCCCTTGTTAAGAGGTTGTATAGACAGATTAAAAATCTGAGGAAAAATAGAAGACCTGCTCCTTCAATCAAGATTTTGAATTCAGCATCATAATTCATTTTCCATGTAATCTTTTGGTCTCATACTTTGAATATATGATTATGGGAAGATAATGTGCTGCAAGGACCACTAAGCCATTGGGAGATTATGACTGATTATGATTATGACTGATTATGGTCCTCTCTGACTGATGGGTTAGAGTAGGGGTGTCAAACTGCTGACCCACGGGCCGGATGCGTCATGCCAAAACCGCACCCACCCCATTGCCGGCAATGGGAAAAAAGTTGTGATATGTCGCAACATGTCACATGATGTTGCGAGTTTGACACCCCTGCGTTAGAGAGAGCCATGGTTTCAAGCCTATTAAGACTCATCTGTCTGTTTTCAGGAACTATCTATCATTTGATGAGTAGCATATTGAACAAAGAAATCCGTTCAGTTCCTTGAGATCTGTCAGGTGCAAAAGATGAGGTCCACGTGTGAAGGTCCAGTTAAACTGATTTATTGCTACTCATGCCTATGCAGAGGAATCTTCTCAACTAATGGTTGGCATCTGGTAGGAGTTACGTAGATAAGGGTCAACAGCACTCAAAGGAGTTAGAACTTTGTGGCAACATAGGGATTCTAGGCTGACCCTTCTTTTCACTCTGCCCCTAGGCTCTGACACTCTTTTTCCTACAATATCGGAAGAATTGACCTCTAAGCTTAACCAAGCTGAATTTTTGAGATCTTTAAACATATTCGTTTTGTCCCAAACAACAGAGGAAATTTGATTTCCCCACCTTTCTCTTTGGAAAGTCTCTCCCCAACTAATTTATGGGGCTGAGATCTTTGAACTGACAGAGGCAATTATAAATTCCATGAGATGTGGAACTAAACTAAATCTTTAGTGGATTACTGAAGTGCTAGGGATGTAGGATTGTTATATGACAAGGATGGTTAATTGTTTGGAAGAAAGGAGTACCATGGACCGGATCATACTCTGAAAAGTAGTAACAGCCGTGACAAAAGCTACATTTGCTTTAATTAAAATTAACTAAATGCAGTTAATAGGATTACTGCCCATATATTTCATATTCTTTCTTTTTACACAATATTGGTTACACAATGTTCAAAAGCCCGTTGATTGTAGCTGCCTATACTGAATTGGAACAAGGAAAGGATAAACCAAGAAAAATAGGCTAATAGATAGATAGATAGATAGATAGATAGATAGATAGATAGAGAGAGAGAGAGAGAGAGAGAGAGAGAGAGAGAGAGAGAGACATAGATACAGATGTATAGATAGATAGATAGATAGAGAGAGAGAGAGAGAGAGATACATAGATACATAGATACAGATGTGTGTATATATATATATAGAGAGAGAGAGAGACATAGATACAGATGTATAGATAGAGATACATAGATACATAGATACAGATGTATAGATAGATAGATAGATAGATAGATAGATAGATAGATAGATAGATAGATAGATATAGATAGATAGATAGATAGATAGATAGATAGATAGATAGATAGATAGATAGATAGATAGATAGATATGGATATGGATATGGATAGATGATAGATAGATTTAGAAAGATGTGTGTTTGTGTGTGTGTGTGTGTGTGTGTGTGTGTGAGAGAGAGAGAGAGAGAGAGAGAGAGAGAGAGAGAGAAAGAGAGAGAACTGCAAACAACAAATGTGTTACTAAAGTTTCTGATCATCTGCTTCATTAAAGATGACATTCCTGATTTACAATGTAGAAAATAACACTCTTTCACAAGAATGCTCTAGAAAAGTTCACAAATGACCTTCCACATCCAATGAACTTTTCGTCCTTTTTTAATAAGAAAAAAAGTGCATCATGAAATGCATAATTGGATAGGTCATTTGTCCAGAATACCATAGGGTCTTCTGCTTGTGCATGGGGTTGGCCTAGGCCAGGGGTAGGCAACCTTGGCTCTTTTATGACTCGTGGACTTCAACTCCCAGAATTCCTGAGCCAGCATGGCTCAGCTTGGAAACCTCTCCCTTTCCCCTCAGCATGGCTGGCTCAGGAATTCTGGGAGTTGAAGTCCACGAGTCATAAAAGAGCCAAGGTTGTCTACCCCTGGGCTAGAAGGACTCCAAGGTCCCTTCCAACTCTGTTATTCTGTTATTCATCATGCAGATGATATGTGGGGTTGACATGACAATAAGCGTGACATCCCTTTCGCTGCCTGCCGATGCCTGTAACAGGGTGCCCAGTTGCCC